GGCATATTGGTAGTACTAGGAACGGCCAGCATGTGACCGCGGTTTTCGGCGACATTGTCAATTCGTTTCTCGACTCTGCTGTTCGCTACAAGACAAATACACATAGAAAACGGCTCGGGCATTTGGAGAAGAGCGGCTACTCTGAGGCGAGGGAAGAACACGGAGATTCACACAAACGACCTGACTAGGTTGCACCGGCCACAGTCGACCGAGGTGGGCTCCGGCGCCCTTAAAGACGCCTCTGACTGGCCATTGCGCTGACACCCTGGTCGGACCACGGTCATTGATCGGACCCTGCCACTGGTTCGTGCTCACTGTAGGGATCATCTATGCGATTTGTCATCTATGCGATTTGTCATCTATGCGATTTGTCATTTCATGTTGTCATTTTTATTTATATTGTCACCGCTTTATTATTCAATCTGTTACCTGTTGTCAATTGCGCGTCATGTTTGTTATTTGTAAACCGGCCTGCCGCTGGCCTCAACCTTCGTAGTAACCGCTGTGCCATACGCTATAGAACGTGTCGTGCAAAGGTCACGGCGGCACCCCTGAGGCGGCCGCTGCCCGTACGTTTAGGAGCCCATTGTCGTGACGTCATGACTGTGGACAAAGGTCGCGGTAGGGGCTCTCCCGGCAGCCGGACGGTGACTCATACGTTGAGCTTGTCTCTCGCCGCGCCTGCGGGCATATTGGTAGTACTAGGGACGGCCAGCATGTGACCGCGGCTTTCGGCGACCTTGTCAATTCGTTTCTCGACTCTGCTGTTCGCTACAAGACAAATACACATAGAAAACGGCTCGGGCATTTGGAGAAGAGCGGCTACTCTGAGGCGAGGGAAGAACACGGAGATTCACACAAACGACCTGACTAGGTTGCACTGGCCACAGTCGACCGAGGTGGGCTTCTGCGCCCTTAAAGACGCCTCTGACTGGCCATTGCGCTGACACCCTGGTCGGACCACGGTCATTGCTCGGACCCTGCCACTGGTTCGTGCTCAGGCTGCCTTAGCGGGTAGACCTGCTCGACCAGACGCCCCATTGGTGGGCGAGTGCTCGGTTCCGACTTTCCCGCCGGTCCAACAGCGTTCTGCTGGTTCCCGCCGATCCGGTTACGACACCGCAAGTGCCGTACCGACTCGGGCGTCCCAGGTGGGCGTAACGGTTACCACACCAGTTCGCGACCCCCAGGCTCTGTCAGCCGTCGTACGGCTCTCGGACGGACACTCTAATAGATCAGCCACAGATCAATAGATTGTCACAGACCGTCCGTCCAGCCACGCGCTACCCACAGCTCAGTACGACAATTGGTGACCCCGACGTGATCTCCGTTGTTCGACCTTAGCCTCTCGTCATGCCCGCGGACAGCGCACAGTCCGGCGCCGCAGCTCAAGACCCAGCCAGCGTTCCAGCTTCAGCCTCCGAGTCAACTCATCGGCCCATGGCTAGCTTCCGGCTACCACCATACTCTCCGGAAGAGCCCGACCTGTGGCTACTGCAGGTGCAGTGCGCTTTCGACGTCAGCGGGGTCGACTCCGACGAGCTGAGGTTTAAGCTCCTCGTCGCAAACCTCCCCGCCAACATCGCCGTCCAGGTCAAGGACGTCATCCGGTCATTCCGGTCTTTTGACGTGCTGTGTGCAGCGCTCCAAGCCCGCCTGGCACAGTCACGCGCCGACCGACTACAAGCCCTGCTCGGCCGCCAGCAGCTCGGCGATCAGAAGCCGACGGCGCTGTTGCGCTCAATGCGCAACGAGCTAGCCGCAGCCGGGGACGCCCCGGTTGATACGGAGCTCTTCCGTACACTGTTCCAACAACGGCTACCGCAGCCCGTCCGTGCTGCCCTCGCCCTCCTGCCAGCCGACAGCACGCTTGACGCACTGGCAGAAGCGGCCGATCGGTATCTGGAAGCTAGCGGACCCGACCCACGGCTATCAGCGATCGCGGCACAGCCGTACACACAGCCGGCACCACCCATCGCTGCTGCAGTGACAGCCCCAGCGCCAGCTGCAACCCCTGCGCTGGACACCGTCATCGCCTCCCTGGTCGCTAAGATGGAGCGCTTGGAAGCCAGCAACCGACGACTCGAGGACGCCGTGCGACGCGACCGCAGCCGTTCCCGGCCGCGCCAGGCGTCTCGCCAGTCTCGCCGCCCGTCACCGGCTCGTCCTTCAACGCCGCCGCACGACGACACGCTGTGTTGGTACCACCAGCGATTCGGCGCCCAAGCGCGCCGATGCAAGTTGCCGTGCTCCTGGATCGCCTCGGAAAACTGAGGCGCCCCGTGCTGATGGCGCAAAGCACGGGCGCCCCTCCTGCCGCGCCACTCCTCTTCGTGAGGGACACGGAGACGGACCGGCAATTTCTAGTCGACACCGGGGCGCAGGTCAGCGTGCTGCCTCGCCGCTGCCTGCCCAACGGGTCTACGCTGACCCCTGCTCCTGTCGGCCAGCAGCTCGTCGCGGCAAACGGCTCACCGATCGCGGTGCACGGCACCTGCCTGCTGGACGTCACCTTGAGTCAACAGCACCGCCTGAAACACCGATTCTTCGTCACTGACGTCACCACACCCATCTTGGGCACCGACTTCCTGGCCGCACATCACCTCGTCGTGGACGTTGCCAACCAGCGTCTCCTGCGGGACGGCACCGTCTGCGCCAGCGCCGAGCGGTCACGGCTGTGCTCCATCGGAGTGCGTCTCGTCCGGGAGCAGGCTGCTGCTCGCTTCGCAGCTGTCCTCGCCCGGTACCCGGATGTGACCTCACCAAAACCTGGACCAACACCGGTGAAGCACAACGTGACGCACCACATCGTCACCAAGGGTCCACCGGTGTACCAGCGGCCACGACGCCTCCCGCTGGAGCGCCTTCAAATCGCACGTGCCGAGTTCAACAAGATGCTCCAGCAAGGCACCATTCGACCGTCCAGCAGCAGCAACAGCGGCAACAGCAACAGCAGCAGCAGCAGCAGCAGCAGCAGCAGCAGCAGCAGCAGCAACAGCAGCAGCAGCAGCAGCAGCAGCAGCAGAGGCAACAGCAGCAATACCGGCTCCTCACTGCGGCTTCCCGGCGAGTTCTTCGTCAGCAGCCAAGCCTCAGCAGCATCACCGACCGGTTTCGTACAAGACCTGAAGCGCGCCATGTCTCAGGTGCGGCCGACACTCCCACGTCCGGTCCAGCGCGCCACGTACGTCCCGACGGCACTCCAGACGGCGACACACGTCTTCGTGCGCAGGGACTGTCACCGCTACCCGCTGGACGCTCCATACGACGGACCGTTCCCGGTTACCGAAAGGACCACCAAAACCATCACCATCGACCGTCGACAGAAAAAGGAAGTCATCAGCATCGACCGGTGTAAGGCCGCCTTCCTGGAGACGCCAGACGAATCCGGTCATCGACAGTCTGACCTGCCAACTGTGCAGCCGCACGGTACTCAGTCCAGCGGCCCGCCGGCCGCGCCACCGCTCAGCAATGAGCCCAGCGGCCCGGAGCTTCTGATCTACGGTGACGCACCAACTCGCCCTACAGCCGTCGCTCGGGCTGACGCTGCACCATTGCAGCCTCGGCCGATACTACGGACGACCCGCTCCGGCCGCGTCATACGACCTCCGGTAAGATATCGCCATGTCACTTTTGTCCGCGACATGTCTGGCGAGGGGGTACTGTAGGGATCATCTATGCGATTTGTCATCTATGCGATTTGTCATCTATGCGATTTGTCATTTCATGTTGTCATTTTTATTTATATTGTCACCGCTTTATTATTCAATCTGTTACCTGTTGTCAATTGCGCGTCATGTTTGTTATTTGTAAACCGGCCTGCCGCTGGCCTCAACCTTCGTAGTAACCGCTGTGCCATACGCTATAGAACGTGTCGTGCAAAGGTCACGGCGGCACCCCTGAGGCGGCCGCTGCCCGTACGTTTAGGAGCCCATTGTCGTGACGTCATGACTGTGGACAAAGGTCGCGGTAGGGGCTCTCCCGGCAGCCGGACGGTGACTCATACGTTGAGCTTGTCTCTCGCCGCGCCTGCGGGCATATTGGTAGTACTAGGGACGGCCAGCATGTGACCGCGGCTTTCGGCGACCTTGTCAATTCGTTTCTCGACTCTGCTGTTCGCTACAAGACAAATACACATAGAAAACGGCTCGGGCATTTGGAGAAGAGCGGCTACTCTGAGGCGAGGGAAGAACACGGAGATTCACACAAACGACCTGACTAGGTTGCACTGGCCACAGTCGACCGAGGTGGGCTTCTGCGCCCTTAAAGACGCCTCTGACTGGCCATTGCGCTGACACCCTGGTCGGACCACGGTCATTGCTCGGACCCTGCCACTGGTTCGTGCTCAGGCTGCCTTAGCGGGTAGACCTGCTCGACCAGACGCCCCATTGGTGGGCGAGTGCTCGGTTCCGACTTTCCCGCCGGTCCAACAGCGTTCTGCTGGTTCCCGCCGATCCGGTTACGACACCGCAAGTGCCGTACCGACTCGGGCGTCCCAGGTGGGCGTAACGGTTACCACACCAGTTCGCGACCCCCAGGCTCTGTCAGCCGTCGTACGGCTCTCGGACGGACACTCTAATAGATCAGCCACAGATCAATAGATTGTCACAGACCGTCCGTCCAGCCACGCGCTACCCACAGCTCAGTACGACAGCGTGGCGTGGCACGCCAATCACCGTTCATACAATCACGCGACACACGCAGGACGGGGGAGGGGGACAAGGTCGGGGGTGGGGGGACTATTCTATCTGCCCGACCATCACGCTATGACATGACCCGGGCCGGGGCGCCATGTGGTGTTCTGTATCAAACTCAAAGGGTATCCAGAGGGTTGCGACATTGTCTATGAAATGCCGTCCTACACTACACAAACGCAACGTTTTATCAGCTTACAATTAACCACAGCAAGTTCGCAACTACAGTGCAACAAAGTCATTGAGCACAGGCTCATTTGACGTCATCGAAACCAGACAAAGCTGGTTCACATCGTTCTGTCTCACCTGTTTCACCTCCTCGTACTGTTTGTCGAGTCGCACCTCCTCCTTGTTTTTCATTCGAATGCCGTACTTGGCTGCCTCGTCTGGCTCAATGGGACGCTGCCGGCGGTACAGGTATCTAGGGGGACACAGAGGGGGGGGGGGTCAGTGGGGCAGAGCTAGCAGAGATTAAAAGGACGGGAAAACTTAGCAACAAGAAATAATTATAAAATGTCACGAATGTCATAGCGGTTACACGTAATAAAGGTCATATTGATAGGTCACGTTGATCACATGTGTCAAGCTGATTACAGAGGTCATAAAGGTCACATACACCACGAAAATCGTACAAAACACGCAGGTTACACAGATTACCAAACTTCCGCCAGTTAGTCCGTAGATCTCTCGCTCTGGGGTAACCACGGGACGCGTGAGAGCCCTAATCAACCGCGGTTTTGGAACAGAGGACTGGCGGCAGCCACAACCACGGTTACGCGCACCACGGGCACAAACAGCGTCATTATCGCCACCACAGCGCCGCAAACGCCGCTATACGCTCAGTCACCTTCACGGAGGGTATGTGCGCGGTGGGGAGAGACAAAGACGGCGCACCTGAGGCGATCGCGGTGTGAGACCCGAGGCCCGAGGGGATTTGGTCCGGTGCAGAAGGGTGGATGGAAGACTGACTTAAAGGGAAGTTGGAGACGACGAGAGAATCGAAGACAAGAGTTATTTAATTTCGGGTGACAAAAGAGGGTCCGTCAACTCCTTGTCATACTTCATGCCGACACAGGTGTAAGTTCGCGAAGTGGGGATGTCGCCTTTTTAGCTAAATGCTTAATGTGTTTCTGGGAATCATCATAGCGATTCCGAAATCATATAGACAATTGCCTGTGGTCTGGGGACCTTCTCGTTGGCATGACGACAAACGGCGATGCACTGACTCCCACGAGACCTAAACTTAACAGCACATTGACTCCATCACTCCATGGATGTCACGAGGCGGATTGAAAAGCTGGGTGCCACTGTCACCGAGAGAAGTATCTCCATTGGTCTGAGTGGACGGGGCCTGAGTGGACAGTCTGTTCCAATTGGCATTGACAGGTCTGACGTTGGTAGAGCTATACGAAGAGTCATGTACCACTGCGAATGCTATCGAGTCTCTGAGGGCAACATTTTTAGACCATTCGAAGAACCTATACCCTCTCAAATTTCAGCATTCATATTTTCGAAGTGTAAATATCAAGAAGACATTTGAGGACATAGTAAAGCCAGCTTTTTCACTATTTCTGCGATTACGACGCCTTGAGCCTCCATTTCTGATGACCGTGCAGAACACGACATAAAACATGACGAAAAAAGTCCGTAAATAGACCGCTGAGTGGCGCAGCGGCCATGATGCGCTCCTATTTACTCAACAGCTCCCAGTATTTACTCAGTATACCGCTCCTATCCGTCAGGACGACGGAGACCATCTGGGGCGTCCACGCGGAACGCTCCACAATATTGACTCAGAGTCCCTCTCAGTGCTCAACGCTCTCGCTGAGACCGTCTCCTTCACCCAGATCCCTAACGCAAACTCCCGAAACCACATAGAAACAACATAAAAACGCACGCGCGCGCATTCCTGGCCAAGCTCCACCGCAAACCGTCACTAAAAAACGACGCTGCTTTTTTAGCGGAGTCACGGCAGTCGTGACCTCGACAAAGCCTCGAGGCGTTAGAACCCGGCGATTTGGAGGGGAGGAGAGGGTGGCTGCAGATGTTCCGTTTCCACGCCGAGTCGGGGCCACCACGCGGCACACACGCGCACATTAGCTGATGGCTGGGCTGAGGCGTCCTTTCCATGTCAGCAGGGAATGGAACGTCAGGGAACGGAAGGCAATGCCACAGCAAGCATTATGTGGGGATAGGAAGCAGTGCTGGCAGGAAATTATTCTTTGCCCCGTTTTATATTATACGGGGTTGCATAATTTATTTCTATGAAGTCGTCATGTTGTCTACATAGCTGTCGCTGAAGAGCACGTAAGAACGTATCACAGCATCAATATGGGTATCTAATGGTATTTTCACAAGGGTTCAATGATTTCCACCGTAACGTTTTCGATGCAGTTTGCACCGTTTCGGGCACAGTGAAACAGCCCTTGGAAACAGCGAGCAATGCTCTGTGCGAGTCCACCGGCCGTTCGAGGCGGCGCGGGTCGATCGCGACGCCTGGGGCGCTGTAAATCGACCCCCCCCCCCCTCCAGGACCCCCACCGCGTCTGTGACGACACTGGTCAGCTGACTCAAAGCGAACGGCCGTCGAATGGAGTCTGTTGCCCGAGGGAAACGTGGGGAAAGGCAGTGGGAGCCGGTTCGAGCTGGTTGCGGAGACGCTGACACCGAGTGGATATACATTATACACGCCCGACAAAACTCGGAAGACTGATAACAAAAAAGTCGATAAAAAAGGCTTATTTGTCCTTTGTATTTTCATTTCATTGAGGATTTGGTAACTTAGATCATGCTGAAGAAGTCTCAACATTGAATAGTTTAGGAGACGGTCGTTATGAGCAAAATCCACGTCCTGCTGGAGCGTCGTGTGTTGATTTTGCGTGTTGTTCCACAATAAGGTCAGACTGATAGATAGGACATCCGCTGTAGTCGCATAAGAAATATGTAAGATCGAGAACGCGGACGCATGACGTTTCCTAGACATTTCCAGAAACACTTGCGAGCCGAGTAGGCACATATTTACCTACGTGCAACAATGTGTAGAACTGCTAACACAATCAAACACCGGGCTTGGCTATACTACATGAGCAAACCAAAAAATACGTGCCGATTAATTTCGCGATAAACGAGCCTTTCTGGTTGGCTGGTATTTCAACCTCACTGCTGGGTATCAGGGGCGGACGTTAAGTACGGCGCTGAAACGGCATGGTAACCCGATCCAATATACCGAACTCACGTCATCACTGGCAACGAACCGAACCCGTATACCCGCGGCCAGGTCCATAACCCCGGGCCGAGCACCGAACCAACTCAATTTGACGACCGAAACTTCGCGGCAGCCACAACTCGTAAAAACCAAACGACTCTGGCTCAAAGGCGGAGTGTTGCTGACCCGCCCCGCCGCGCACGTCAGCCTGCACGGCGCAAACCCTGCATGTTTATCCACAACACAGCTGTTCTATGTCTGCGTGACGTCATCAGGGGAGCACCGCGGGGAACAAATGCAAGAAAACAGCCGAGTTTCACAACCGGGAAACGCTTCACAGACCGGCGCCCGTCGAGACTGGGGTAGATGGGTGTCCGTCCATCACATACTGACGTCCAAAAGCCGTGAGAGGGCCATTCATCCACTGTGCACTGCACAAACACAGCATTGCCGCGAAAGGTCACGTTTCACGGTGAGGGCGAGCAACAACCAGAATCACCGCTCGCGGTCCGATACGGACCAAAAGTCGCCGATGTGCCTTTGTTCGCAAAGGGCACAGTGCACGCAGTACGGGAGGGCTGTTTTCGGTACCTCGTCACGTGCAGGCCGCACAAATGTACGAAATAAAAATTGTTGAACAATGGGCCACGATTCACGATGAAGAATACGAAGAGAAGGAACTTGCTTTGTAGGTACTCAGTATCCAATCAACTTAGAACTTCGGATCAACTTTGATGTCAACTATCGCAAAGAGCATCAAACTCCACATCAAACCATTAACCATCACACATCATAATCATCGGGAGCAGAAGATAGTGTCATTCATCAATAAACTTGTCCAAGTAGCTTTGGAAGAACAAACTGCTATAGCATGATAAAGTAGCAAAAACAATGAAACACCGCTATATGGACGCAAGCTGCATCAACAAAGACCTTGCGCTTAGCCATCCACAATGAGACCATCTGTAACTCATCAAGTCTTGACTGTCCTCACTAATACCCATCAGACAAGCCTCCTCTGAGATCCTGGCTGACATGATCGATCGTTGCTGGTCAGTAGCCACCCACTACGCTGTTGGCAACAGCGTTCTAGTGCTCATGTCGGGACTAATCCAGGGCATGTAACCGAATGTTGGCTATACCAGAATCATGCATTATCGTCGAAATGCATCGACGGTATACCTAAGACTAACCGCCAGTTACCAAAGGTTTAGGAGCACTATGGCAAGAAAGGTCATTTGGAATTAGATACTGTTCCAAAGCGGTAATAAGGCGCATTCATTAGAGGCAAACATCCGCAGCAAAATGCCATCAAATTTGTTCGATCAGTAAAATGAATAACGATTTGATGGTACGGTACCTAAATATGAGCCATTTTAGTCCTACAGAAATTCATCAAAATAATTAAACACGACACCAGAGAATTCACAACTCACGCCCCAGAGGAACGCGACAACGCTATTTTCAGGGACGCACCATGAGCCACATACGCGCGACAGACGCCAGATAAGACCCCGCCGATAGCGCGTCACTGATCTCAGCGCAAATACGAGTCACAGTGCAGTTAGCCATAGGACAGGTGCGCCTGCTGATAATTTACCACCGCAATCAGTTTGTCAGCAGTTTACGATCACGACGCAATAAAAATGGATCTCCGTCACAGCAAAATTTCATGGCAGTCACAGAATAGGGGGTCCCTGAAGCGAAGATAATGTTGATGATGTCAGCTAAAATAATGCATGGATAATATTTGTTGTTTGCACGACGGATTTTGAGAAGGTATGTTCGTTTTAAGGCCAAATAAAAAGGGACATGTTTTATGTTTTTACGTACCATTTATTGCAGCCAAATTCTTACTGGCAATCACTGTCATTGCCAATTGAAGTGCAATACATGGTATCACACTGAATTACTTCATTGCCTCCCTAATAATGAAATAACGGATCACATGTATTCAACTCCACCACAGATTGCAGGATCGTTTTTATTTGGGACCATATTTTTACCACTTCAATCGAAGAAGTTCAAAAGCCTCAGCCACCTAGCGTGACGTGCAATCACGCAACTTCGGTCATCCTGCCCTCCTCTGTCGACCCTCAGTGACCTTTCATCGGTCGCTCACTTCAGTCGAACCCCGTATGACCCCTGGGTGACCCGGTGACCTCAGGCGGCCACCGTCCGCGCAATGCGACAGGGCAGCTAGCGGGCGCATCGAA